ATCTATAAGGACTGAATTCAAATTTTTAAATCGATACGATTTAATGGATAAAATTTGTTGATTAAAGTGATTTTCTCTTTATATCTTTATCACTTTATTCAACCATTTCTATAATAGTTTTAAGACTGGGTAAATGTTTATTGAAATTTTATTTTTGCATTTTGACTTTATCTTTAGTATTAATAAACCATGCATGTTTTATTGCATCTTAAACTGAAATTCTTTTATTTGGATCTTTTTCAGTCATTTATTTAATTAAATCTAGTTAGCAAGCACTAAAAAGATACGGATAATCAGAATTTTGATACTATTGAAATTTAATCTCTTATGAAGATATCAAAGTTTATTTATTTTATAATACTCTTTGAATAAATAAAGGATTGAGATTATCTTACATACTATAAAAACTGACTAACATCAAAAGGATTCCTAATTAATAAATATCACTAGAAAGTGATGGAGCTTAATTTTCATTAATTTCAGGAGCAATTAGATAATCACAAATATTATGAACATAATAATCAATAGATTTTGATGTATAAAGCTAAGTTAAATATAAAAATAATACTTTATAAATTGGATTTATAACATATACTCCCACTTAACTTTATTTATTTACAATTATAATATTATCTAGATTTATATTACCATGAAAAAGATCTTCATCTTATAAACTTTTTAAATTTTAAAGAACAGAAAAAATGATAAAAGCTAAATCAGATTGAATAATTTAGGTTTTATGATTAGATAACAATTATTCAAAAGTACTACCAATAAATTATTCAGTTAATAAATAAAGAATATCATTTTCATCAAATATACTAATAATAGAAAAGACATTTTAGATATTATTATTTCTTAATATTTTTACATAATTATTTATGACTTCTTACTAATCATAGAGTTTAAAATTTTTTCGATTTATAATTTAAGCTGCATATTTTTTCTTCTTTTTTTTATGGGAAATTAGATAAAAATTTAAGCATATATTGTCTTAAATTCTGTATTTTTTAAGAAAATCGATTTGTTTAGCCGATAATTTTAAAATCTTATACCATTCCTTTTATGATATAGGATGCGAAAATATTAATATAAGTCTTCCTTTTTGATTTTATAAAGATATCAAAAATAGTTAATTATGATGACAATGAAATTTTTTCTTCTAGATAACACAGTCACTTAAAACTACACAATTAGTTTCTTCATAAATTAATAGACCATTAGCTATTTAAATGAATTTCAATTTTATCTAATTGTTACAACAAATGTGACAAACACCTTACATATCATAATTTTCTATTTCGATATGTAAATCTATAAAGGATATAAATTACAATGTTGATTCCAGCTCATTTACATTTGGTTACTTAAGCAGCCAATCTAAGTTTACACTAGATTCTTTTGTTTACAATTTATTGAGTCTTTCATTATCAACTTTAATTGCCCTCTTCTGTTTCATTTAATCAGTATTTTAATATTCTGATTAACTTAAAAGATTAATTTATAAATATCACAAAAAATTTTCAAGTTAGTTTGAGATTTTTATTTAGGAATCAAAAAGATATAGTATTTAATTTTCCTTTCTTATTATTAACTCATTTTAATTATTAAATTTTATACAACTATGAATTGATAAAGTTTAATTATTTTGGATTGCAATATTACAATTAATCATTAGAGTTTTTGTATCAGAACAGAGATAAAGATTCTAATATAATTATAATAGCTTTCAGATAATGAAACTTAACAAATATGTACCATTACATTTATTAAAAATTGGAAGATTCAATCTATCACTTAAATAAAATAAGGGATGGATGTTATATATAAATATAGCAAAGTCTTGGATTTCCTGAAATCTAAAAGTTTACTGTAACAATAATAAAATGTCTGTTACTTTTAAAAGTAATACAGTAAATAAAATTTTAAAGAATATGAACGTTAATTTTAACATTGTTCAACCTGAAGATTTTAAATTTTAGATTTTATAATTTATGTTTATAAGTGCATGCGTGCTTTAAATCATTTAAAAAATTTAAAGATAATAAGAAATATTGTTCATAAATATCATTGCAAATGCTATATTCAAAAATAGAATTATTATTTTATATTAATATTATTTACTATTGAATGTTGAAAATTTAAGAATAACTTAAACTTGATTAAAAAAGACAATAATCAAGGAATACGATATAATAATCATAATTAACAATTAATTCATGGATTGTTTCAAAATTCAAACCTCAAACCATTAAGCTTAATTAAATAATATATTTCCTTTTATCAAAGAAAATAAAATAACGAGAATGTTATATAATGAATATTCACTACATTTGTTAGAAGTGTTCTTAAAATGATTAAATTATTGAGTTTGTGATTTATTCATTATAAAAAATTCTAATATTTGTTTTAAAATGAACTATAATAAAGTAGTTGTTTATCTCAATTTTATACAATATTTACAAAGATTTTCTAATTAAGAAATTGTAAAATAAAGATTAAAAATTAAAAAGGATTAATAATAAAGAAAACAATATCTATTATGATATATATCCACACATTATTTTAATATTTATTTTCCATAACAAATACTCAACAAAAAAAAACATAAAGACATTAATTCCCTTAATATACTAAAGTCTAAAATTAAAGATTAATCGACCAAAATAAACCCAAATTGTTTAATGAACTAAGAATTAATTTTAAACTAATTTCAATTATTTTCATAAAAAATGAAACACCTATAATTTAAGATGAGAATATATGAAAATTTAAAAACAAAGAAATACAAAAACATAATCTTCAAATACTTCCAATAATATTATAGAATAATTTCGATTACTATTAAGGATATCTGAATAACATTATATATTATGCCATTAAAATCAATTATATGATGATCTTTGTTAACATAATATAATCAATTAAGTAAAAATGTTGATTAAAATAATAATATAAATAGAAATTAGAATATAGAATATTGTTAATGAAGAATTGGTGATTACATTTAATAAAGAAAAAATTAAAAAGATATAATTGATTTATTTTATTATTATTTTTACTTAATATAAACATATATTTGTAAGCAATATATAGTAAGAACCAACCTATGTAAAACAAACAAACCAAGGAAAAAGTAAGGAATATTCAAAAACTTAGGCGAAAAAGATAGAAATTTGATGATTTCATGTTTTTGATTAAGCAAATTGTTATCAACTTAAATTAATCCAATAGCAGGTGGAACAAAATAATTGAAGATGAGACATTACAAATAACAATATAATAAATTCAAATTTCAAAGATCTAAGTGTTACACAATCTGAGATTTATTGATTTTTAGATTTAATTTTTAAGTAAAATTCAATATGTTTATAAATGATATTTTTTTATATGAAAAATAATCACAATATAGATTTGGAATAAGCAGAAACTTTTAGCAAAAAAATTATTAAAAATAATTGTTTAATTTTTTTTCTATCAAAGACACTATTTCAATATTTTTTAAAAGATATTTTGAATTTATATATACATTTATTAATCTTTTAAATATCTGATTTGATCATAAATTAAAAGCATAAAATAATCTTTGAAACGATTATAATATGATAATTAGCTTTTGAATATCAATAATCATTGTGCAAAATCTTGAAAAAATTAAAAAGATAGTTTTTGAAATTAAAATCTCGATAGATAAATATTCATTAATTGAGATTCATTTGTATATTATATATATAATTAATTTTAAAAATCAAATGTAAAGTACAAATAATTCCTAACGATCAAATTACTTATAAAATTCAAGTTCCTCAGTAAGAAGAGCTAGAATATTTGATACATCTCAAAGTTCCGAGAGAAGAAATACTCCAAGCATAATCCCAATTTCAAATAGTTAAGTAAACAGATCTCCACAAATTCAAACAGAAGAATTTAATGTTCAAGGATTGTAATAAAGTTAGGTTAGTGAAGTGTAGATAAATGACTTAAATAAAGTAAATCAATTTTAAAAATTGCCAGATTTGAGTAGATGCAAAGTTAAATTTATAAAAAGAGAAAATCAATATACACAAACTGAAGCAGATGATAAAGATCTAATAATAAGATAATAAGAAGAATTGATAAAACAACTACAACGCTAAATTTAATAATAAAGCAACACAAATATGGAATTTTCATTTCATAAAGAGAACATGGATTAATAATTGCATTCACCTAAATACAATTGTGTTACCAATAATTAAATTAAAGATTAAAGTACAGGAAATAATACATTAATGACAAATTCTCCTTATAAGAAATAATAAAGACAGCAATAAAATCAATTTTATTTTACTGCAATTCCATAGTCTAATAATAAATCGTATATTTTAAAGCCTCATAACACAGAGAAATAAGTATTAGAATATACAAAATAAAAATCGAATAAAGATTATTTCTTTTCTTAGATGGATTGATTCTTATTTATAGTATTTAATATCATAATTATTAATACTCGATTTATTGACTTAATTAAAAAATATATAATTAATTTCAATATATATTTGAAATATTGTTTCTTGTAAATATTTAACAAAACCTTAATAATTTTAGTTGATTATTAACTCTTTAATAATAAAGAGAATAGTTAAAAATTATCATAAATAAAATGAAGATTTATAATTATAAAGAGTGTTAATCAAAATGAATACGAGAGAAATAAAAGTTTAAATATTCGTTATTCTTAAGGTAAATAATTAAACTAAGTATTTTCCTTTAGCAAAAGATTTGAATTTTCAAAATAAATAATTAAGCCTTAATTATTATATCAACAAAAAAATGATTTTAAAAAATCTAAATCATATGGTATTTTATAAACATAATTAATATTTTGAGTACTAAGAACTTGAAATCTATTAACAATAATAAATTTGAGGAATTTTGAATAGGAATAATAAAATTAATTAATTTGCTATTTTTTTTTAATGAAAAATAGAATTTTCAATATTTATATTAATCAGAAATATTCATTATAATTTAAGTTCATCTAGCTCTTATTTATTATAAGTAGAATTATAAAATTTACTTATATATTTGATATGGTTCTTAACATCTTGTATTTTTTCACTAATCATAAGATCATGTATAATTTGAAATCCAGAGAAATATTGCCTTGATAAATCAGCTGCAATAGGATCATTAAATAACCTAGTAAAGTCCTGTCTAGAGAAGTTTTTCTTACTCTCTCCATTCTTTAAGAATGCTTTAATTGCCTAATTTTCTGTATTTTTGCTACCTAGTAATCTAGGAGAAATGAATACATAAATATTTCTTTAATAAGACTCCGAAATTTTTGGGAATGTTTTTTGTCTCTGATTTCTATGGTAATGGTTAATCTTTATCTTTAATTTTGCTGATCTTTCCTTTTTTATTAATTTTTTAAGATTCTGAATAGTCATATGATCCTTCAGTAGAAATAGAAGATCTGTGCTAATCTTCTATTATAGATTCTGGTATAAATTATATGAATGCTTCATCTTTAACATATTTGTGGAAGGAGGAGTTAGGATTAGAAAAATTGATTGTTGAGAATTTGAATGGTTGATTCTGCATTTAATATTAAATCATTTTGAATTTGTATATATTAATAATTATTTATGTAAATAATTATATTCTATGAAGACTAGAAATGATATGTTAATGATAAATATAATAAATTTACATAATTTTAATTAATTAATATATAATATATATATAAATTATTCTAAGGGAAACTAACATAATTTATATAAAATAAATGAGTCATTAATTATCAAACATTGAAAAAATAAAATAATAACTTCATCTTTAATAATAAGTTAAAGAAATATTAGCCAAAGAATATATAGATCTATAAAACAAGGATCATTTTTAAGTATTTATAAGAAATATATATCTTAAGGTTATAATTGATATTTTGGAAAAACCTAAAAAACAAAGAACATCTAGTGAATTGTAATTGTTATCAATGGCATTTTCATCGATTAAATATTTTTAAGAAATGAGTAAGACAACAAGTTAAGATGAGATGTTAAATTTATTTAGAGTATAATATCTATAATCAAATCTAGGAATTATAATATATAGCAGTACCAGCAAGAAGAACATTATTTCGATTAGGAGATATTGGTAAGAATTTTTATATCATTTTAAGTGGATCAGTTTGGGTATTAAAGTATAATAATATAATTAGGTATTGGTAGGTAAATCAGGTTTATAGAGTGGAGGATTTACAAAAGAGGATAAGAAAGTTGAATATGATGAGGGGACTTTTTAAGTATTAAAAATTTAATTATTTAGGATGAATTTGAATTCGGAGATTTAGATGATGAAAATATGTTATTATCAAAATATCCAAATATGATGAAGGTAGGTTAGATTGCTTAAGGAGGTAGTTTTGGTGAAATTGCACTTACAAATTTTATACCCAGATAAGCAACAATTGTATGTAAAGAAGATTCATAATTTATTACTTTATCAAGAGAAGCCTTTAATAAATTTTTATGTATCATTATTGATTTATATAATCTTAGCTGAATATTATAGTAGAATACAATAAAAGAATTTTGAGTTCTTGAAATCAATTTCTATATTTAATGATTGGAATGATTCTGAATTAAACTAAATGCAATATCATTTATAACCTATTGAATTTTGTTATAATACCTAGATTTATAAAGAAGGTGAAATTGTCAAGTAAATTTACATAATATTTTTAAGAGGAGTTTATTTTGTATTAGATGGATAAGTAGAAATAACTCAAAATGCAAAAAATGATAATTTAAATGAAAATTAATTAGTAAAAAGAATGAATAGATCTTTGAGTATAAAAATTATATTATTTCATTAAGGCACTAAAAATATTCAATTAAAATTAAATAGATGTGGATATGGTTAATTATTTGGTTATTTGGAAATAGTTCAAAATCATGAACATAGATAATCAAAGGCTGTATGTTTAACTGAAAAATCAAAGATGTTATTTTTACCTGCAGATGTATATTAGTTATAATTTTATAAGAGGTTTAAATTATATTGTTGTCATGGTGAGACACTAAATGAACTAAATAAATTGATTGCTAAATTAGATCAAAATAAAAAAATATCTAAAGACATCTTTCTTGGATAACAAAGATCAGTATAATTTAATGAAGAATTTTATTTCAATTCCATAACTTCACCACATTATATTAAAACTTAAGATGATGATGATGGAACTGAAAAAGTTAGTTTGACTACAAATAATAGATTGTCTCAAAAATAGAAATTAACTTTACCATAAAAGAATTCAGAGAGAAACTCTTATAAAAATTCTTAATAAAAATTATAAAAAGAAATTCTAGGAAAAATATAACATAAACCTACAAATATTTAATCTTATTATGAATTTATCACATAACATTCAAAAGAGAAGTCTTTATAATTAACAATTGAATGTCCACTCATTGAAATTCAATAGAGTAGAAAGGCTAAGGTATTATAATAATAATTTTAACATTAATATTCTTCTATAAACTTAAAAACACCTACTTAAAAGAATTTGGATTCAAAAATATCATTAATTTAATAATTAAAATTACCTAAAATATTTAAGAAATAATAAAATACTGATGATGTCTAATTATAGGTGTCTCACTTTGTTAGATAACATAATTAAAGTGTATAAATTTATTGATATTTTAAATATATATTATTTTTAATATAAGATGTATTAAGAATACACAAATTTTAAATACAAAAGTTTAAGAATCATAACTTTAGTGATCTTTCACTTCTAATGGCTCCAAATTTCTCATTTAGTAAATTTTTAATTTTAAAATAATCATTATAGGTCCATGATTTGATTGAGTCTTATTATTGATTCAACATTTTTAAAGCCTAAATATAAAATTGAATTGAATACTTGTGTCCATGTAACAAATCTGCCTTTCACTCTTAATCGTTCTTCAGCAACTTTTTATCTTACATGATAGTGAACTTTCTTTTCATATGTTCGACTATGTTTTTTCTCTAGATATCTAGCTACTTTCTATTTTCTAGCCATTTCTTTTAATGATTCATGGTTTGTAGCTGTACACAATTATTCTACCCAATCCTCAAATTTTAATGTTTCATCATCATTAAGAATTTCATCACATAATCCTATTTTGATTCTCATGATATCATCAGATTTAACATAAGATGAAATAAATTCTTCTTATTTTTAGGAAGGATGAAATCTCATTTTTAAGTTAGAGAAATGTTCATCTACATTAGTTGGAATTGGAAGATTTTTTGGATATGAGAATTTTTTCTAATTTTCTTTTTATAGCATTGCTGCTAATATTTCTAAGTCACCCATAGCATGATGGTCTTGTGATTATTCAGTGGTTGAGCATTCTTCAATACAAACCTTCTTTTTTGGATCCTCGTCTAAATGAAATTCATCTAAAGTTCTAGGGATTGGTTTCTTATATAAAGATAATTGATAAGGAGAATAAACAGGAACTTAGTCTTCTTCTGAGTATTGATCACCTTACTAAGATAATTAAATATTATACTTGATCATCATCATCTATGTAATGAGGTTCTTCTAAGAGTTTCTGTTAGTTTTCAGATTCTTAAATCTATTCAATACACTCTTCTTTTAGGTCTTGATTGCTATTCATTTGAAGACAAGATTTTATATTTTTTTAAAAAATCCTTTGAATTTTGTCTAATAATTCTTCTGTGCTTAATATTCTAACCATGAACCCCGTGGTATTTGAATATTATTATAAACTGATACTTTTTATTAAAGAATTTCTAATAATTTTAATATTCTCATAATTAATACAATTACCTGTCCAAAATTATATTTTATTGAGGTGTTTCATATAGAAACAATAAAAATAATTATAAAAAATTAATAAAATTCTATGATAAAGATAATATAAAATAGTAAGTATATCAAATTTTATGTATTTATTGCTTCTCATCTTCTTCAATGACTGAATCAAGTTTATCATTTATAAGATTTTCGAATTGGGATACATTATTAGATGATCCCTTACTACTAAGACTTTCATAAGAGTTCATTTAACAAAATGAAGGATAGTAGAATTAGAAATCAGCATACTTTCTAGGACTTTTAGTTCTTTTACGTAGTTCCATTCTAATCTTATAAGATGTTGGATTGCATCTTTTAATTTAAGCAGCTTGACTTTCTTATCCAATAGAATTTGTATTCTTTTAATCAACTATAATTAATAAGACATTAATACTAATTTGAGTAATTCCTGAGAATCCTGTTGCTTTATCTAAGATTTCTTATAAAATATTGATATTTTCTAATTTGCAACTAAAATAAGGGTGATCCAAACATTATTACGCAGAATATCTAGTATTAGGATTTGGATCAAGCATAGCTTTTAATAAATTCAATGCTTCTTTTTATATTTTGAATTCAAATTCTTAAAAATTAATTTAACATTATTTATTTTGTTCCATAATTTCTTATGTATTTTAAGCTCTAAATAAAGTTTTCTTTGTTAACCTATTGATATATATAAAATTGATTACAATTTATAGAAGATAACACCTGCGCTGAAGATATCACATTTTTCAGTGAAATATTCCTCTTTATTAGTATGTTTTAGGATTTCAGGTGCTATATATCCAGGTGTTCCACAAATAGTCAATTTTTAAAAAGGTTATTTGTATATAGCTAATCCAAAATCAATTAATTTTAAAGATGTAATATCATTTGGCTTTTATAATAATATATTTTCTAATTTTATATCTCTATGAATAATGTTCTTTGAAGCTAAGTAATTCAAGGCTGTTAGGATTATCTTAGTTATTATTATAATATAGATTACTTTAATGGCTTCCCTTATTTTATATGAGGGTAATTGATCATCTGGATAAGACTTAATATAATTATAAAGAGTGTCTCCTTCCAAATAATCTGTTACAATATAATATGAGTTCTCTCCTTAATAGATCTCTTATAATTTGACAAAACTTGGGTGATCTATTCTTTAAAGGATTTAAATTTCTTATTGTAATCTATACTAAAAATTAAGAATGATTTCATACAATTCTATCGTTTGATTTCTTTTATAACAAATATTTCTTAGAAATACATTTTGCAGCATATTATGATATACTCTTTTTACATTTAACTAAACAAACTTTAGATGATGCTCCTTAACCTAATATTTAATTTGAATCATAAAATATAGAAATATTTCCAAAAAATACTTTTCCTGATAAGTGTATTTTAAGTAAATTTAATGAATTATGATCAGAATCAAACCATTTAATTCTATTGTTATAATAAATTCCAAATGAACATAATTGTTCATTGTCAGATGCTTTCCACATAACTCTTGTTTCCCATGTATAATTTATTACATACTTTGCATTTGACATATTTTTATGCTTAATAGTTATTTATAATTTAATTACTTCACTTAATATCATTTAATCATCATGTACTTCTAAATAATATGTTTTACTTTTCAAAATGTGCTTTCTTATACAAATCATCTGATAGATCACTTACATTTATTTTTTATTACTTTTTATTAATATAATAATATTGTGTAAAATTATTGAAAGAATTCATATCTCATTCATTAAACATATTATCAAATTTAAATTACTGAATTTTTATTATATCCAGTAATCAATCACTAAATTCAATGTTTTAAAAAATAGTTAATAATTAATCATAATACCATTCTAGAATCAAGTTGACATCTATGAAAAACAGCTGAATAAACAATAATATGATGCTTTTATTAGATAATAAAAACACTCAAAAAACTTAAATATATAAATTCACAGTAATCACACTAATTAATAACTGAATAAAATAAATATATGTTTAACAACTACAAATTGAATTTAAAAGAAAATGAGCTTTATTAACAATTCATAGAATAGATTCAGGATAATTTGAAAGATGAATTCATTCTATTAATAGATACATTTGAATTTTAAGTAAATCAACGTGTTCTTGAATAAGAAAAGTTGTTAGATTAGATAAATAATTTGTAATTGTAAACACAAAATAAATTAGATTAAGAATTAGCAAAGTAATACTCTATACTATTTATTTTTAGCAATTTCGAACTATAAAAATAAATCAATTAGTTAAATGAATAGTTGTAGTAACAAAATACTCAAATTTCATTTCTAAATAAATCAATGAAAAATGTATATATAGAACAATTAGATTTGTTTTCACCTATCAAAGCTCCTTCTCTCTCTCCTCAAATTACAAGGACTTAATGTATTAATCCATATTTTTATTAATTAGCCATGAATAAACAAGTTAAAAGAAAACTATTATTGACAGATAAAGAAAATGATAATCAAGGTAATTGTTACAGCAGCATAAAAAAAATAAGATAGAATGAATATTTTCTTGATGAATAGGAATTTCTAATTTATTTCAAAGAATAATGTATGAAAGAATTTTTAGATAAATAAATGGAGAGAGAATAAGAATTATATAATTTATGGTAGAAAATGTAAAATTAAAGTTTAAATAAATGTCAATAATTATAAGAAACAATTGATTTTGTATGTTCCCAAATGGATGCCTATAAATAACAATATCATTCTGATATCAAATTATATACTGATGCACTTTAACAATTAGAAATAAGAGTTTCAAAATACAAAATTGCTTTTCAATACATAATTCAAAATAATTCCAATTAACTTGACCTTAATAACATTATTCATTTAGCCAAAACTCTAAATACTGAATTTAATAATGTGAATGATTTAGACAAATTAATTGATCTTCTTATGGAATTCAATTAGACAAGCCAAAAATTTAATTTGAGTCTTTAAAATAATTAAAATATCAAGATTTAAAATATGCAAAATTAAATTTAAGAATTAGAATTATAGAAGAAAGAATATAATGATATTAAAGTTCAAAGATTGGAATTATTGGAATTGAGTTAGTAGATGAATAGCAAAATTATATAATAATCAAATTAGATTGAAGAAATGAATCAATAAATAGCATCTCTTACTTAATTATTTGCTAAATCCTTATAAGATTTAGAAAGAATATAAGGCGAAAATGAAACACTAAGAAAATCTTATAATTGTAATACAAACTTTAGTAATACTATTACAACAAGAACATAAGAAGGGAGTGTAAGTTTAAAGAATCATTTTATTGCAAATAGATATTCCACCTATATTCCTAGAGAAAGTATTAGTTGCAAGAATTCTTATAGAATTGATCAAAGATAAACGAATTTCAGTTCTGATTTTAAAAAATCATAACCTAATTATGAACTTGATGATATTTGTTGTTTATTGGATTAATTATTGAATTAAGGTTATTCAAATAATACTCTAGATTTCATTAATAATGTAAATTAAATGATTATAATAATAGTTTTAATGTTAAAGTGGAAATTTCAAGATTTAAATGTTGTGGCAAAAACTTAAGGATTTCTTAGTAATTGTTTACTATTCTTATAATTAATAAGATGATATATTTATTTCATTGAACAAATTTATAACTGATCTCAAATTACCAATTAATTAATTTGAATTAATTATTGAAGATGGATTATAGCATACAACAAGTAAATTAGAATCTAATTCTATTCTCTTATGTTAATTATTACATCGATTGGTATCTGATATACATGATATGAAATCATCATAAACTTTTAT